TGCTTCCTTATATTTTATATAATTCCTTCAGAACCGTACCCTACCTATGAGACAAAAGATGAAAAAGGCTACAACACAGACATAAAAGAAACATTAAAGTAAGGTAAAAGAAGTCCCAAGGGATGAAAGGAGTCAGTGAGTAGAAGATAGCTCAGGCCTAGCCATCCTTGATGACAAAGTCTTGATCTGTCATAGCAAAAAGAAAAAAAAAAGCTTTATTATTATTATTTTTTTTTGGAGTCTCATTCTGTCGCCCAGACTGGAGTGCAGTGGCCGCTCCCGGCCACCGCAGCCTCGACCTGCTGGGCTCCAGCGATCCTTCCGTCTCAGCCTTCCAATTAGCCGGAATTACAGGCATGTGCTACCACGCCCGGCTGATTTTTTGATTTATTGTAGAGATGAGGTCTTGCTGCCCAGGCGGGTCTCGAACCCATGGGCTCGGCAATCCACTCACCTCAGCCTCCCAAGGCGTGGGATTACAGGCTGAGCCACCGAGCCCAGCTAGCTTTATTATTTTTAAAGAAAGCACCATTATCCAACAAAGTTGTATCAAATGTCAACTATGCACTTAAAAAAAAAGCAAATAAAAACAATGAGGATTTTTTACAAAACACAGCAATTCAGTGACTCTTCCTCTTATAGAAGCTCTATTTCCAGAAGAAAAAAAGTTAATACTAGAATGCACACTTTACCAATAAGTATGGCAAACAATATTTTTTTTTTTAAATTACTAACAGAGAAATTATAAATCACTAAGTTAGCTAAGTGAGACACACAGAAAAAAAGCACAAAATTGAAAGCAACCTCCAGAGTTTGTCAAAACATCTACCTAAAACACAAGTTGGTAACTCCTAGATCCAAAAAAGACCAATGATTCCATCATCACAGTTGGTGGGAGGGGATTTCTGTTTTGGCTTCTGGGAAGTGAGAATAGAAGAAAATAGTAAGAAAGAGAATTGGCCATTCCAGAACTTTCCTTCAGTTACATTCCCAGTGTACTCAGTGTTCAGTGTGTTAATGTCTACCAGTACTCTTCAGTCATTTATTTTAGTGGCTCTATTCACGGCCTGTAATATCACTGGTTTAACGTCTAGCAGTGTGATACCTCCTGCTTTGTAGGTTTTGCTGAGGATTGTTTTGGCTATTCGTAGTCGTTTATGTTTCCATAAGAATTCCTGTATTGTATTTCCAGGTCTGAGAAGAATGATTCTGGTAATTTAATGAGTATTGCATTAAATCTGTAGATTGCCTTGGGCAGGGCAGACATCTTAACAATGTTGATTCTTTCAATCCATGAAAATAGAATATATTACACAATGCAATATTACGCAGCCATAAAGAAGGAAAAATTATGAACTTTGCAGCAACTTGGATGGATTTAGAGTCTATCATACTCAGTGATCTATCACAGAAACAAAGAACTGAGTACCACATATTCTAACTCATAAGCGGACCATGAACAATTATCGTAATATTATAAGAAAGTGAATGGCAGTAGTGGGAAACTGCTGGTGTGTGGGGGGTAGGGGGAACTTCATCAATAAGGGTATCTGATCTCAAACTAGGTGAAGTGGGAACCAAAGTAAGGTCCAAACTTTATCTGTACAATGACCATTTGTATACCTAACCCTGAATTTTATCCCACACCTTCAAAATAAAAATTTTTTAAAAGGAATACTACAAAGTTGAATTTTATATTTAAAACAATACTTTTTGTTTTGATACCAGTAGAGTTTATAATCTTGTCAAAGTTTCCACAATAGCGAGATAAAAATTATTGATTCTATTTGTATATAATCTCTAAGTCAGTCCACTTTTACTAATCAAATCAAAGTTCCTTAAAAAAGGTGATAAGCACTATCTTTCTTTTCAAAAAGAAACACATGCTTTTTGTTTCTTATTTTACATTATTAAAAATGTATTTTATAAAGACAAAGATTCAAAAGTTGAATCATTTTAATAATACAACTACTGCTGAACTGTCATCCAAAAGCTGAGATTTTCTTGTATTAGGGTACAGTTTTCATTATATAAATGGCACAGTTATTAGGGCTTATACAAATTCGCTGTAGAATTACAATTAAGTAATTATAGATTAAAGTTAAATTTTAGAAGTACTAGGATACATAACGATAAAACATTCTAAATGTTATCTACTGCTTAAGACAAATTTTAATTGCATTTAAACATTAGGTAAAACATGTAACTCAGACTAAATCAGTGTATAGTTAAAAACCAATAGTGTAGAGATAACGAAGGTCTCACGTAAGCTGGTTAAAAATTCATAATGAAAAGAGAACTAGTAAGAATATGGCAACCTGGATGAAACTGATATTCATTAGGGTACTCCTCCCATCAATAGAGAGCATTTGGACTCTGTGGTCTTTATCAGTGTCCCAGCTGGTAATGGTTGAAGGTTAATGCCTTACCCAATTCTCTTCAATTTTCTATCCTAATTAGCCCTCCAAATCTATACCTCTGAGCACCAAGTGTCTGTGCTCAAAAGAAACTAATTAATGCTAGCAAATTAGATCAAGTCCAAAGATCCAACAGCCAAACTCTTAGTTAAATGCTCCTTGTTAATAGGAAGTGTAGCTGTCAATAGCTGCTGTTGGTGACTATAATGAGGCATCTTTCTTTCATTGAAAGTGATTTCATTTCTCTTTGTCCCTGGAAAAGCTGTTCCATTCCCTTCATAAACCTAAGTTGCTGGCGGTCTGACCCAATTCTTATGATCAGCTGGGTTAAAATGACATTAAGGGAAAAAAAAATCAAACAAAAAAGCCTTCCTACATAATCATGTTTCGGGCATTTAGCAGAAGTCAGATCACTTATTAAAATTCCTACATCTTTATCCAACCCATATAATTAGCATATATAATGCTTTTATGTAAAATCCTATAATCATGTAATAAAGCAAGGGCTATAAACAGTAAATAAACGACAGTAAAAGTGTCGTGATTCTAAATGCAGCTTTTGTCTGCTGCTTGAGTAATACCAGTGTACATTCTTCCCTAATTCACATGGCTAAACAGAGAAAATACTAAGGATTTATTATCTCCTATAAAATAATCAATTTTAGATTATAAAACACTATTTTAGACCATATGGTCTAAAACATTCAATATATGATTATCTATAAGAAACCCAAATATTCAGAAATCAATTATGCATTCTAATAAGGGCAAATTCATTTAAATAATCCAAATAAGTCTCAGATTTTAAGATGCTTTCAGTCTCAGAAGACTGAAGGGTATTAAAAAAAAGCTTGACCATGTCAACATCCAAAACAACTTTTGATGAAGTAAATATTGAACACTATTTGCCGTTTCATTATAAAGTAGTAGTTTTGCAACACAAACAAATATTTTAAAGTTGTACGTTATTTTTTCATTTCAAAAACCAAAAAGAAAGTGTCATTATTTAAGAGTAAGGAAAGGCAGTTCTGAAACCCAAAGCCATACAATCATTCTGTAGCTTCATCTGAATCATGTCAGTAAAAATTAAATCTATAATTGAGTTAGCTAGCTTTCTTTCATTCTAGGTATCAGGATAATGTGTTACAAAACAGTATGAATACAATTTATATTTATAACTTTGGAATGATATGTCAGTAATAAGTAAATGTTCCCAGCTGTGAAAAGTTAACCCTATAATCTTATCAATTGTTAAGTTTTATCCTCCCTCCATGAATCAAAATATATATACTATTCTAATGTTCCATGAGGCAGGCAGTAGATGTACCACTTGTGACTATCAGCATGACACCTGCCAATGCCAGATGTGCACTGAACCCTGTCTGCAGGTGCCAATAGGTTAATTTCTCCTGACACTGAAGGAAGGTGCTTTAATTAAACAGCTAATTCATGGCAAAAACAACAGTAAAACCACAGAATGATGATTTCTTTTAAACTACTAATTCATGAATTGACCTAAAATGGAATTAGGTCATGAAAAATCATGTCTTAAGAAACAGAAATGACCATCACACATTGTTGAATACAAGGAACTACTCTTATTTCATTGCCTCCATTCATCAATTGCAAAGGTCCTCTCTGAGGGCTGAAGGCGGGGAGGGAACAGAAATGTTCCTAGGTTCAAAACGTTATTGACACAGTCCCCAAACCGGAGTTTACATAGCCATGCTCCCTGTGGAGAAGCTTGCAGCCCATCATCCTCACGAAAAATTTCCTGAAAAAAGATGACCACAGGGGAAAGCAAAGGAGAGCCAGAAAAATAGCCTGGATCTGTAAAATTTTACTACTTCTTTTTGATGGCCATTCCAAGAGGTAGATTATTTTTTTAAAAAAGATATTTCTACAGTAATATTACCATCTGCTCATTTTTTAACCTTCCACTGCTTTGCTTACATTTTTTTTACTAGAAATGTGATATATTAATCAATACTATGTCTCTAGGTTTATAGAATATAGAAGTATTTCATGTTAAAAAATTTTTCCAGAAAAAAACATACACGTGTGGCTGCCTGATGCATGCATTTACAAAATATCTACCACTTAGAAACATAAAACAAAACAAAAAACACACCAAAAAGACTTAGACTCATTGTAAGTCCTATTAGGATTCCATTAACAATTCAGTAACAGACAATGACACCACAGAAAATCATCTAAGAATACATATATATGAATGAATTGATAGATGAAAAACAGGTACATGTTAGATTGATGTTTCTTCTTTCCCTATCAAAATTGCCAGAGTAACCTGTTTCTCAAAAATGCTCATATCAAGTTTTTCTCTATATATAACTCTACTTTTATGAGGAAAAAAATTGTTTTTTACTAGTAATTTGGGGAATATTTTTAAATTGTAAATGAATTGAACACCACTGGAAATTCTGAAAGCTGAAGTTCAGTGAAAGGGTGAGAAGCAATTCATACATATTAATTCATTGACTACTTGACTCTGAGGCTAAGGATTAAATTCAAATCATATTATTAAAAATAAATTTGATCTCTATATGAATATTTGAGTCTTACCTTGAACTTGTTCTGAACACCTCTCTCTGGCCTTTTCTCTCATTATTTTAGGGATCAAAACATCTTTTTCAACATGTCTGAGATGCTGCTCTGAAAAAAAAATTTAATAGTCTCAAGTAAATCACCAGATTAGGGGAAAAATAAGAACTCTGGTTTACTTATAATAAAAGCCTATGCAGATACATTCAAAATTGACTCTTTTACAACTTGATAAAATTTTGATTATTTTATTGTTATTATTTTAGTCACTGAAAATCATCATCAATATTTTTTAAATATAACAACAAAGGAATGTGAGGGACACCGGCAAAATATTTCTAGAAATTTTTGCAAACTATATTGCAACACTTTTACTTAATAATATATTCCACATAGTCTTGTCTAAATTATAGTCTAAATCATTATTTTCTTATTAGTATAATCCACAAAAAGAATTTTCATCAACACTAAGATTCAAGAATGGCTGAAGAGATACAAGATTAAGAGACACACAAGTAGTTTTTCTGCCTAGTAGTAATAACAGTAGCCTAAGAAAGAAAGCAGAAGAAAAAGTGGAACTACAGGCCCACATACAAAACAAAGCATAAGAGATTTCTGTGCATTTTTGACACAACTTCCACATGCTCCAGAGTTCCACTTGCTCCTTAAATGCTGAGAGGCCTCAAAAACAAGCAAGCAATAAGTGCCCCCAGAGAACCAAAAATAATGAGGAATCTCTGAAAGACAAAAGACAGATGCGATTAAAGGATGTACTCCTACAGAATATCCAGGAAAAAGACTCAAGTCAAAAGTGGGTGCTGTTCCATGCCCTGAAGTAGCAAAAATGGGAAGCAAGAAAACATCTCTGGAGGAAAACTGAAGTTTAAAGTGCCTCAGTAGAAGCCAAGTGATTACCTCCTCTGTTGCCTTCAGGCCATGGGTGAAAAAAGTAAATATAGGTATTTATCCCCCAAAGACCGGGAAGTTTTCCAGTATCTAGTGGAACCTAGGAAGACCAGGGACCCCCTAAACTCTTCCTGGTACTATGTTGTTCCCAACGACTTCTAGATGCAGGCAGCTATGAACTGACATATGCTTGCAGAGACAGTAACAGGGCATCTCAAAAAGAAAAAAGATCAACAAAACAGACAAGAATCACCCAAATTTGATTAAAGGGCAACATAGTGAAAGGCAAAAACCAATTATAATTAATCAAGAAGTAAACAATTCCTAAGAGGGCTATAAAAGAGAAAAGAAAAAAGATTTTAGAATACTTTAAGTATGATGAATATACTGAGGCAAATGAAAATACAAGACCTCAGACAGAAATGGTCCATGGATTACCTAAATGAACTCTGATGAAATATCTGAAACCCCAAAATTGTAAAAGCTTCAAAAGTGAAAAAACATGCCCACATAAAGGACTGAGAATCACACTTATATCATGTCTTACTGGCAAGACATGACGTAACAAGATAACAGAGAAATAACTTCAAAGTTCTGAGAGAGAATTACTTTATATTCAAGAATTCTAGAGTCAATTAGACCACCAATTAAGGGTGAGGTTAAGGACATTTTCACATATATAGGAACCAAAATGTTTACCACCCTCAAACCTTATAGAAAAAGAAGTAATTACCTTACCACATGGACACTTGAACAACGCAGGTTTGAACCAAATGTGTCCATATGCACAGATTTTGTTAAGTCAAATGTGGGGTGAAAATTCAGTATTTTGGGGAGGCAAACCCACATGGTATATGGAAGGCCAAGTTTTCATACACTCAGGTTGTACCTGGCTGAGAATGCAAAGATTTTGTTATATGCAGGGGTCCTGGAACTAATCTCCTGGGCATACTGAGAATTGACTATACTATTATTGTGCAACAACCACTAATCAAACTTAGTGAGGTAGAATAATAAACATTTTATTGTGCTTAGGGATTCTATAGGTCAGAAGGACCTCATCTGGGAAGACTCAAATGTCTGGTGTTGACTTCAGCAGGGCTGGAGGATTTACTTCCGAAATTACTTCTTTCTTCATCTATGTATCTGGCATCTGGCCTGGAATGGCCACAGGAAGTGCTCAGTTAGAACTGTAAACCATAGCACCTACCCCATGGCCTCTCTGTTTGGAGCCATGCAACACCATTCCTGATTTCAAGTCACTAAGGATAGGACATATTCAAATAGAGGAAAATTAGACTCCATTCTTTATGGCAAGACCGCATTACAGAAGAGTATGTAGGATAGGGGATAATGTTGTGACCTTCTTTGTAAAATAAAATCTGTCATAAGAAGTTATTAGAGGATATGCTCTGATAGAATAAAACTAAACCCATAATGTAAAATTTGAAATACATAAAGCGTATTAGAAAAATATACTTTAAAAATTTACTTGTTAAAATGGTAAAGTACTTGAACATTGTCAACTAATTTGACCTAATAACATTTATAGAATACTCCATCCAGTAATAGAATAGTTACTAAAATAACCCATAATCTGGCTATAAAACAAATCTCAACAAATTTGAAAGAATTCAAGCCATACAAAGTATATTCCCTGACATCACTGTAATTAAATAAGAAATCACTAACAGAAAGATCTTTGGATACATTCCAAATATTCAGAAGCTAAATAACACATTTCCAAATAACCCATGGATGTAAAAAGGGTATCAAAAGGGAAATTAGAAAGTATTTTGACAAGATTAATCAAAATGTTTGTGACACTATTAAAATGGTACTTAAAGGGAAATGCGTAGCACTAAAAGCCTACATAAAAGAAGAAAAGTCTTAAATCAACTTAAGTTTCTACACTGAGAAATCAGAAAAAGGATAAATTAAACACAAAGTAAATAAAAGAAAGGAAATGATAAAAGTCAAAGCATAAATCAATGAAATCAAAAATAATAATAATAAAAGAAAAGAAAAAACAGCAATGAAACCAAAAGCTGGTCCTTGGGTCCTTTGAGATGATCAAAAAAATGTATAAACCATAAGCCAGCCTGACCAAAAAATAAAAGATAGGTCATAAATTTCAAACATCAGAATAATAAATATTTTCAATGGCAATAAGGGAATATATAGACAAATTTTGGCCAATAACCTTGATAACTAAAATGAAATGCACAAATTCCTTTAAAAAGCACAAACAAAGCCGGGCTCGGTGGCTCAGCCTATAATCCCGCACCTTTGGGAGGCTGAGGTGAGTGGATTGCCTGAGTCCACGGGTTCGAGACCCGCCTGGGCAACGAGACCTCATCTCTACAATAAATCAAAAAATCAGCCGGGCGTGGTAGCACACGCCTGTAATTCCGGCTACGCAGAAGGCTGAGGCGGAAGGATTGCCGGAGCCCAGCAGGTCGAGGCTGCGGTGGCCGGAGAGGCCACTGCACTCCAGTCTGGGCGACAGAGTGAGACTCCAACTCAAAAAAAAAAAAAAAAAAAAGCACAAACAACTAAAGCTCATTCAAGTAGACACAGATAATCAAGACAGCTCCATATCTACTAAATAAGTTAAATTTAGAGTTAAAAATCTTCCCACAAAGAAAATTCCAGGCCTAGATAACTTCCCTGGTGAACTGACCCAACATCTAAGAAAATACATACCAATTATACACAAACTCTTTCAGAAAATTGCTCTGAGGCTAGCATTACCCTGATACCAAACCAGACACAATCATTACAAGAAAACTGCAATTCAATGTCCCTCATGAATAAAGACGTAAAACGTTTTAACAAAAGATAGGCAAATTAAATCCAGTAATATATAGTAACACATAATTCTTCATAATCAAGTGAGGTTTATCCCAGGATTTTAAGGTTTCCTTAATATGCAAAAATCAACAAGTATAATTCACAATATTAAAAAACTAAAAAAAGAAAACACACAGCTATCACAATGACACAAAAAATACATTTGACAAAAATTCAGCATCCATTCCTAATAAAAATCTCTCAGTAAATTAGAAATAAAAGGAAACTTCTTTCTTCAACATGATAAATGAAATCTATAGGAAAAAACCCACAGTTAAAATCATACGTAAAGGTGAAACACTGAATATTTTTCCCCCAAGATAGGAAATACGATAGAGAAGTCTGTTCTCACCACTTCTATTCAACATTATACTGGGTATTCTAGTCACTGCAATAAGGGAAGAAAAATTTTAAAAAGGCATCCAGACTGTAAGGAAAAAAGAAAACTGTAGTTATACAAAGATAACATTATTATCTATATAAAATCAAACATAATCTAGCAACTAGAACTAGTGAGTTTAGCAAGATTGCCAGATGCACGATCAATGTACAAAAATCAAATGGAGATGACAAAGGAAAAATATCAGAGAAACATAAGGTAATTTAAAACACAAATTAACAAATTTGAAAAGTTTTTTACAGGAAATAAATGATAACAAAAGGAAATTTAGAACAACAACAATGAAAAAAAGAGCAACAGAAAGGATAAATGCAGTAAACTTTTCTTGCGTTTTTAAAATTGTCCTTGACAGAATCAAAACTTACAGCATTCTCATTGTATGGAGAGGTAATATTAAAGATAACTAGATCACAAAGGTAAGAAGGTAAGGTAATTTTGGTGGTCGTATAATTTTTGAATGATAAAATGTTGATGTTAGTAGACTGTGATAAACCATATAAGTAAGGGGGAGCACATATAATCAATAAGGGTACCCACACTTTACCTGCATGATGACCACGTATATACCTAACACTCATTTGTACCCCACATTTTAAAAATAAAATAAAATAATTAAAAAAAAATTTTTTTTAATCACGTACGTTGGCAAATATTTTCTCCCATTCTGTGGGCTGTCTCCCAGCTCTCTTGATGGTTTCTTTTGCTTTGCAGAAGCTCGGTAGTTTGATGAGGTCCCACTTATCTATCTTATTTCTTAAGGTATTGATTGGCCTTTAGGGTTCTAAATAGGAATTGGTTGGCAGTTCCATTTCTGCGTTTTCTAAGATTCTTATAGTTTGAGGTTTTACATTTAGGTCTTTGATCCATTTAGAGTTAATTTTTGTGTATAGTGATAGGTAGGGGTTCTATTTCAATCTTCTGCATGTGGTCAGCCAGTTTTTCCAGCACCATT